AATATTGTTGAACGTAAATCGTTTTTAGACGGGCAAAAACAATTTACAAACATCAAGGGATTACCCTAAAAAAATAAAACCCCCGTCGGTCCCGAACCGGTCAAAAGTTTAAGTAGTTCTGACGAAAAAAAACAAATATATAGCTCGACAAAGAAAAATGCATAATATTTATCTTTGAAGTACAATAATATATTCTGTATAATATTCGCCATACCGGCGTGACGCAACTGTTGTTGAATAATTCATGCGAGTAAAACGACTTAAAATGTTAACGCTCATAACTTAAACAGTCATATTTTATGCATTAAGCGCGCCTATATGCACTACCGGTACAGTACTTTGGCTTTAAAGGTCTTGAACCGACCTAATGGTTTTGGGTAGTCGTATTTTATCTGTGTGTATAGTAATACACACAGGATTAGAATAATATGCAACTTCGTTTGTAAGGAAAAAAACCTATGAGTTTTTTTTTACATTTAAGTTTTACCCAAATGGTTTTAATACACAGTTATCCGAAAGTAACCAAGAAACTTTTTTTTATCTTTTGTTTTTATTTTATTTTATATACACAATTTTGTATCTCTGGGCAAATTAAGAGTATAAGCTGAGAGAAGCATAACAAAAACATGAACAGCTTGACGGCAACAACCACCCATTAATGACACTTCCTATTTGTTTTAATTGATTTATTTATTGTTTTTTTTTTTATTATTATTAATGTAGCAAGCCTCTATACACCATTTACGTTTGAGGTGTTTCCAAGGGTTACTAAATAATAATTACATTGGCTGATCAATTCCTAAATCTATAACCCAAAGACAGTTTTTATCTCTAATCTCTTCTATCTAATCCATATTTCTATTATCTCTATTCCATTATCTCTAATATATTATTTCTTATCTCTAATTTTTTATCCCCAAACATTAAAAATTATTTATCAGCTGTTTCATTCTCAAAACAACCGCTAGATCACGCCACATACACACATTTTTCTCGGTAACATTCAGCATGACACACAGATTTTCCAACGCACAGTTCCTTCAATCAAAAAGTGTTTTTCAATTTCTTATTACAATAAAGAAATATTTTTAATTTTATGCTATTGGAAGAATTAATTATACCTACAATTTCTGATAAATTACTATAAAACTCATTTATCATGCATCGTAAAAAAAAACCCATTAATGATTGGTTTTTTTATTAGAGAAATACAATTTATTTAAAATAAATTTTAATAAAGTAATTATAAATTAAGTATGTATACAATGTAACTTATATAAATTATTTGACTAATTAGGATTTTATTCGAGGTGCGACAACTGGGTTTGGAAAGAGAAGTAAATTTGTATTTATGGTGATGTACAAAGATATACAAGAATAATAATATATCAAGTTAAAAAAGACAAAAATACGGAATAGACGTTTGCATGTTTATAAAAATATCTAGAAGAAATTATTATTATCTACAATAACCGTCAATCTTTGTTTAATCACTAGTATGACACTTTTAAATGACTGTAGGTATTATATGTCTCTAATAATACACACATTATAACAACAAATAAATCGTTAAAATTTTTAAAATGGTTTGTTTCCATTATATTTATTTTATATGTAAATTAGATATTATTCAAAAGTATTTTAGAACTTTCTGAATATATTGAATAGTATAACAGATAAAATGGAGAAAAAATGTTATAATTAGTATAAAATAAGTGTCTCAATCGATATGATACAAAAACTTTATTGGATTACATAAATTCCACTTGAGTTGAAAATCATTAAAAATCCTATGTCGGCAATCATTTTATCAGGCATCGTTATATTATCATCAGTGAACACTATTACTGCTTGACATGGAATGTTTGTAACAGGAATATACCTGCATTTATAACTTTTTACATAATTTATATTATCCAGACGGAATCCTGCGTTTGATATACCAGGAGGCCAGGTACCTTCGTTATGTGCTCTAAAAAGTTCTTCCACAATATCTGCTGGCCAACGTCTATCAATCAAAAATTTCTTGACGGCATTCTGTAAATAAAAACGACGATATTAATTTTGATATTTTTGAATAATGCGTTTTATTACAAAAATTACCAGACAGAATGGCCTAGGCATGGATTGCAATCGTAATAAATCCCAAACTCCTGCTGGTTTTAAGGAATTTCGAAGTTTATCTATTGTCGTTGAACGTATTTTGAGTTTATCCATTTGTTTGGCCAATAATTCTACTTCCGTTGCGTCTATTTCCATGCTAACGGCCTTAAGACAATGATAGATTAACTTAATTGAATAAAACAATACTGATTGAGTGCTATAAGCAATAAAAACTACTATACAGTCTGCATGTTCATTTAACGTTAATGAAACGATATGTATTTATGACAAGTCATGGTCAAAACAGTATGATTTTAAATAATATAAAATTCAAATTTTAACGGATGGATATCAAATAATATTACGTAGGGTTCTACCCTTCCTAGGAAAAAGGGTCTTTGATATTCTGTTTGGTCTGTCAATGAATATTGTTAGTGGTACTTTATCGAAAGAATATTTCCGTGCAAATTTAAAACTCATTTGAGTATTCTTAAAAAGGTGAATGGGTGAAATGTATTTATTTTTAGTCCAATAAAGAACCTTTCATGTTCAGTATAGTACCATTTCTTATGCATAGAGTCTGTAGACACAAAAAATAGAAAAAAATAGTATAACTATTGTATAATTCTAAATGAAAAATATGTTGGCATAACAAATTAATTGTAATGCATTTTAGCGCTTTGGTAGTTGGTCTTTCTTAAACATACAGATTTGTTTTACACTCGTTCTGGGTTTATAATTTGTTTATCTGGTATATTATTAACTTATATTTATATAATAATAATAAAAAAACAATTACTTAAGTAAATGATAATAAAAATAATAGTTTAGGAATAGGTATACAAAAAGTTATTGTTGAACATACCTCATCGCTATTAGAATATACTGTTGCAATATAATACAATATGAAACATAATAAAATAATAATATTCTTCGTATTCATGTTTTGTGTTATACAGTTTCGTATTAACGCTCGAAGACTCTTAACTATATGAAATATATTTCACAAATGGTTCTTTTGCTCAGTAAGTTTAGTAAGTTTGATGACAATTAATAAATTCAATTTTATGAGTAACTGACAGTGTACACAGACACGTTTAAAACAACTGTGTTATTTGTTGAACATGAAATATCGCGGTATTGATTTTATCAAAAAAACCTTTTTAATAACAATTTGGTTTAATGTTTCATCGTGATAATACATTTTTCTGGTTTAATATAAATTTTTTATTTAAAAAAAAAGAATACTATGGCGGGTTTCTGTACTGGTTTTAACTTTAAACTATACTTGGTTAGTACTAAACAGATTTAGACTGTAAGTGGTTTTTTTAGTGGTTAAGGGTTTACTTAATTATTTTATTATTTTATTTCTTTACTATATACAACCACAAGTGTTACTTAAGTTTTTTTTATCGCGTTACACCTCATTTTTTGATGATATACTACAATTTTGAAAAAATTAACTCCATTAAAAAATTTTTATTTTCATCAAACATTAATAATTTAAAAGTGAGAAGGGTGGAGTTTAGTATTATTTTTATCAACCGTACTCCATCTCCCGTCCTAAATTCTAATAACATCTTCGGTCATTACATAACCACTAATGTAGTCCTTAAAGTAGAGTTTCAAAACATATTATTTCAATATTTTTTTCGATTCCGCACAAACGCAAAACGATTACTATCAATAACTTCTTAAAAAATCAACATATTTTCAGTTGTTCGTATTTCATTGTTGTGGTTAACGTTGATGTATTTTTTTTTTTATGTATACAAGTGTTCCACAACTTGGAAATGTAATGACTTAAATTTAAAATTTAAAACAACCTTCAAAAGCGTTTCAAAACTCATAATGAGCTTAAAATTATATTGTGCGTAAAAAACAGCTACGATTAAATACATCATGAAACTATTATTTCAAACAAAATAACTTTGTTTGGTATTTTTTGAAGAGGAAGGAATCTATGTCTCTAAATATTTAAGCTTTTTATGTATAATTGTTGACATAATATGGACTTGCTTTATCAAGAAATAGGTTCAGTAGTTTAAAAGATATCGTGGGTTCAGATATAATAAAAATAAATAATAAATTATAATCCCATTATTGTAAAAACAAGAACTTCACACCTACTTATAAAAACAACACCTCTAATAACTATAGCAATAGTTTAATATCATTACACATAGTTTTTTCAATCACTGGCACGAGTCCGTTTTTTTATAGTTTAAACTTAATAATTTAACTAAAAAAACACCTGAAAATACGTTTAGAGAATAGTGTGCACACTTTGTGTGAATGTCGAAGGAATAACAAAACATAAGTTAACAATCTTCTCGAAACAGCTAAACTGTTTTAGGTATCGTGCACATTGCTGTTTTTTTTTCAAAACTTTGTTTTATAAAACAAATATTATTTTTAAAAAAAAATGTACGGAAAACAACTGTGTGATTACAACGATTAGATTTTCAATATCGCCACAAAAAAGTTACAAACTGTATTGAACAAATAATATTATTCTTTACAAAAATATTGGCATTGCATATCGTTATCACTATTTACTTCTCGTTAACTTTAAAACTTAAAAGTAATAGTTGCTATGTAACCTATTACCAACCAACTATTAATAATTTTAAAAAAAAATCAGGTATAAAGCTCTACAAGAAAAAAAAATAGAAACAGTTTTTTTTTTAATTGTATTTAGTGTTTTCGAACTGAGGAAGCTGAATCACCAGAAATCCCCCCTCTCCTTTAGATGTCTGGCTCTTACTTCCAAATATTTTTTATTGGAAACACATAAAAAAATTTGAGTCATAATTAAATTAATTGGTTTTAATATAATAATAACATAACATGTATTTCAATATTATAATTTATTTTTATGGATATAATTCATTCAAATTTATTAAGATAAAAAGGAAAGGAAATCAAACGCAAATTTTTTAGTGTACACGAAACCTAAATCTACATAAAGATTATTGATTACTTTTATGACGAGCTGATTAATTTGAGTTCCAAATTGATATATGATATCAGATCTGTTCTGACATTTAAACTCAGTTTGAAAGTTCTTTATCAATACTTTGATGTCCTGGTTTTCTTTTACGGGAATTATGCAATATTTTTCTAAGAACGGTCGCAACCAAAAGTGATTCATACTATTAATAAACCTTTTTAACTTTGAGACAAATTGTTGACCTTTTGACTTGTACTCAACATCAAGTTCACCGATATAAGTTGGAAAACAGATTTCTAAATTTACCGATATATCTTTGAACCACATCACTACCGTTAATACATATTGTTGTATGTGTTCCATGCTAAGACGTAAAACATATACCTCGGGTGGAATTAATTTAAATAAATAATTTAATGCGTCATACATGTATTCGAACATCAGCTGACTATTCAATAATTTTTGATACGTATAATTAAAAATTGTCCACGTAAGGTCATAGACGTGGTCTTCGACGTCTTCATTTTCATCATCTGATATATGCGCCGTGTCTCCCGAATTGTCACTATTTTCGTCAAGTGATGGATGGTCATATTGTACTTCAGTTCTCAGCCTTTTACTTGGCATTTGTTTACGATGCATTTTTTCTGAACGGATTTTCTTAAAATTACGTTGTCTTTTTTTCAAGAATACTCTATGTTGAGATAGACGTCTTTCATTTGAACTTACAGATAAAATATTCATAATCAACTTTGTAAATGTATCGGTCGCTTTGGCGTACACACACGCTAACCAAATAATGACCATGTAGTGTTTTTTATACACGTTTTCCAGGCTAAAATAAGAACTAGCAGTGTTTTTAATGCGAGAGAACAAACCTCTGTAAGTGAATAAATCTTTTCCTGAAAACCAAACAATCTCGTTTGGGAAATCTGGATGTTTGGTCTTCACATCGGTGATCTTTGCCCATTGTTGGTGGCCTAATAGTGCGCTAAGTACGGCGGATAGATTTTTTTTGACCGCACGAGATGCAAACGTTTGTTCACTGTTAGTGATTATTACATAAAAAAAGAGAAATCCGATTGACACTTTGCCGAGCATTCTATTTAGGCCAAAACTGTATACTGAAATTAAAAAATTTTATATTTTAAAGTACATTTTTTTATGGTGATCCGTAAATTAAGTTTACCACATGCAAGCTGTACAAAGTGCTGCTGCGTGTGAAATAGGACGTATTTTTACCGGCTAATGTTTAGTGGTATTTGTATTTGCAGAGTCTCTATTATACGTATAGGTATCTAAATAACACTTGTTTATAATAAAATAACAATAATACAATAGGAGGTTTGTAACGTGACATAATTCTCTGTGTGTGTTCAAAATAAGAGGTGCGAAATCCGAATTGTAGGCTTTTACATCAATGATCTGTGCCCCTTACAACCCAAAAGTGCGTTTAGTACGTAAGACAACTAATTATGAGTTTACATTTTCAGTATTTGAATTGCTACATTAGCGACTGCGCCATCTGGTTTTATCTATGTTTCACTATATAAATGGCATAATATGATAATATAAAGGGCGTGCGCGTCAGTTTACAACGTTGGCTTATTGGCGTGTAGAGGAAAACGAATTATGTTGGCGATCAGCACGGCGAGATTGTCAAAATCGATATCATCAACTATGACGAATAATATTATAGCCTCGAACGACTCTTATCCGTCTCCTGTACAAGAGATACCTACAAACGAACGCATTTACAGCGCATCAGTCATTTTTTTCAATCTATATCCTGTATACCGTTTCGACTCCTGACCCGTCGCCAGCCGGCCGCGAGATGATATATCATCTTTATCGCATCGCTTGACGGTCTATATAATAAATACATATATATATATATATATATATATGTGTTTGTCTGTATCGGTCGATTCGGCAGAAGGGAAGGCTGTGTTGTAGCCGGTATGGGTTTGATTCAATTTAATAACACTCGTAAAAGCGGCATTATTGTCAGCCGCGTGCCAGATAAAGAGAGAGAGAGAGAAAAAGGACACACCGGAAGTGATTAATGACGTCACGGTCGAAAGCAGGTTGGCAAAAAATTCTGACTCTTGGCGAAACGGTTTTAGACATTCAAAAGTATTCACGATCAATTATATTTTTTTTAAAAATCAAGTAAAGAGGGAGCTAGGAATAAACGCTTCAATCGGTAAATATACAACCGTAACGCTCATTAAAGAAATGTAATTTTTGAAAATGTAAACAAACCAAAACCCAACCTCATTAATAACATTAATAGACTTCAACAATTTTGTGAGAAATGGTTTACCTTTTGACTTGTAATCAACATCAACTTCACCGATATAAGATGGGAAACAGAGTTCTAAATATGACGATATCTCTTTGTACCACTTCACTAACGGTAATATATTTTGGTGTACATGTTCTAGGCCACGATATAAAACAGATGCATCGGACGGAATTAATCTGAATAAATAACTTAATGCGTCGTCCATGTATCTAAACATTTGCTCACTATTTAATAATTGTTGATGCGTCATACTGAAAATTTTCCACGAAAGGTCACAGTCATAGTCATAGTAACTATCCAGTGACTGCCCACAATCATCTACATATTTTTCGTTGACCCTATTCTGTTTGCTTTCTGACATTTGATTACGATCCATCTTTTTCAGACGGATCTTATTTAATCTATGTTGTTTTAATTTTCTTCTAATTTGAATTAGACGTCTTTCATTTGAATTTACTAATAAAATGTTTTTAATCAACGTTATAAATTTATCGGTTACGTTCGCGTATAGACATGCTAACAAATTAATGACCATGTACAATTTTGTGTACACGTTTTCGATATCAACATGAGAATTAGGCTCAATGTTTTTGTTTTTAATGCTAGAGAACAAACCTCTGTGAATGAATAAATCTTTTCCTGAAAACGAATTGAACTCGTTTGGGATATTTGGATGTTTGGCCTGCACGTCGGTGATCTGTGCCCATTGTTGGTGGCCTAATAGTCCTGTAAGTACGTCATATAGATTTTTCTTGACCGCATAAGATGCAAATGTTTGTTCACTGTCATAACATGTTACAAAACAAAACAGAAATCCCATTAATACTTTGGCCAACATTATTTTATCAAAAAACTTTGGACTAAAATTTAAAATTGATATATTTTAATGTATAGTTTTTTACGGTGATCGTTAGGTTAAGTTTCCACTTTCAAAGCTGTGCTGTGGTTTGTAAAATAAAACGTATCTTTTTCCGGCTAATGCCTAGCAATATTTTTATCATTATAAGACTATGTACTATGTTTAGCTAAAAAACACTTGTTTATAAAAACTACAATATATTACATGACTATGTATAACATTGTCTTTTTGTTTTTAAATACGTTTTAGTTTCGATGTGGAGCATAAAAGTTATTGTGATTACAATAATGTGTTTTTATACTTATTCAAAGACTTTGCTTTAGCGGGGGGCTCGTTTAAAGTATGGCGAAACATCGTATGTCCCACAAAAAAAACATTTTTCACGGTGGTACACCTTAGTAAAGTTATTTACAGTGATAGGCAAGTTATGTTTTCCACTTGCCAACTGTGCTATTGTGTGTAAAATAGAACGTATCTTTTTTCGGTTTACTTTTATAAGTTTATGTTATACGAATAGCTTAAAAACCTTTGTTTATGAACAAATAACAAGAATACAATATACATTTTATACGCGTTAAAATTATCTATGAGTGTTTAAAATAAATAGGTGTGAAGTTTGGATGTTTGATATTTACAATGATGGTATATATTTTAAAGTAATGTTTTATACAGCGAACGGTAATTTAAGTTTTTTTTTTAAAAATGCGAATATTATTCAAATTAACTTCAATACTACCAAGTTTAATTTTAATTCATAGGGTACATTGTTAATGAATCATAAATTTGTTGATTCGCTGGGACAATCTAGAATACTATTTTGCAATGTTATATGTTAATATTTTAGTTGAGGTGTAAAGTTTGTTATCGTTTAGAGACTCGAAAAATATCTGAATCTCAAGAATCAACATTACCTTGTGTAGTTTTACTGAATTTATTCACAAATTGTTCATATTCTACTTTGTATTAAACTGTTTTTTTTATGGTTATTATAAACAAGTGTTTTGCAACAGTATATGTTAGCTAACGGTAAAGTCGTCTACTAATAATACGGGCTTCTTTACACGAACTGGCAATTTCGACAACATGCAGTGTGTAAAATCTAAATTCCTGTTTGCCATATAAAACTTTACTTTAAAATATACATTTTACATTTCAGTATACAGCTTCTCGCCTAAATAAAATGTCGGACAAAGTGTTAGTCGGATTCCTCTTTTTGTGTGTAATAGTTTATAACAATGAACGAACGTTTGCATCAAACGCTTACAAAAAAAATCTGTCTGACGTACTTACCGCCCTATTAAGCCACCAACAATGGGCACAGATCACCGATGTGAAGGCCAAATATCCAGATTTCCTAAACGAGATTGTTTGGTTTTCAGGAAAAGATTTATACATTTACAGAGGTTTGTTCTCTTCTACGAAAAACACTGGGAATTCTCGAGTTAGTGTTGATAACGTGCTTCAAAAACACATCATGGTCACTAATTTATTAGCATGTGCATACGCAAACGTGATCGAAATATTTACAACGTTAATTAAAAACCTATTATACTTATGTGGTAATGAAATAAGATTGTCACGAGCGAAAGTATATTATACATCTAAAAAACGCAAGAGAAATACAAGTATTCTAAAAAAAAAGACTCGTCATATTATGCGCTTGCAACGTAATCAGTTAGAAACTAAAATACAACATGGTCAGTCACAAAGCGAAAATGGTGATTCAGAAGACGATAATGAAAACGGAAACAGCATTGAAAATTACGAAGAAAATGATTGTGCACTGCCTTCAGACCATTTAGCTGACTTTGGAAGTTCTTGGAAAATTTTCAATTTTACATACCAACAGTTGTTGTACGGTCACCAGATGTTTAAGTGCATGTATAAGGCATTAGTTTACTTGTTCAGATTACTTCCGACCTCGGAACTTCGTTCATATACTTACATAGCAGAAGTACCAAAAATAATAGAGGTAGTGGAGTGGTACAAAGATATATGGGCGAATTTAAAACTCCTTCTTCCAACTTATATCGGTGAAGACGATGTTGACTACAAGTCGAAAATCTGTAATTTTTCCGCAAAATTGTTGAAGTCCATTAATCGCAGGAATCACTTTAAGTGGAAACAGTTTGTAGGTAAACATTGCGTACTTCCAAAAAAAGACAAAACGGAAATCACAAAAATATTAAAAAAATTTAAAAAAGAGTTTCCAGATAATAAAAAAACAGATATCATTCTTCAATTTCAATTTCAAATCCAAGAGCTCGTCAAAAATGTTATCGGTAGTTACTATTTAGATTTAGGTTTTGTGTACATTGAACAGTGGCATTTTAATGACTTTTTTCAAATTGAATAATTTATTTATGAATTATTTTAATAATCATACATATAACAAAATGTCTATGTTTTATTATTATTCAAAATACCTTGTGTATTTAAATAACATTAAACCTCGTCCAAACTTTTTCTTATTTATGAAGGAGGGAAACTACACTTTGACCGTAGTCAATTTATAGGGTGCCACGTGTCAATGAATTAACATTCAACAGGCAATGAAAATATTTTCATTGATCTGGTTTTTACGATATACGGCAATACTTTTTTATAAACAGATTATGTACCCTAGTACTAAAAATTAATTTTAATCACATAATTTTCATTAGATACAATGGTTTTATCAATATTTGTATTTTTAAGTGTAAATACTGGACATCCCTTACTGATTCACTTCCCTATATAACTTTTTCCTGGGCAGGATTATACTATAATGACTGTAATGGTATGAACATACTATGTACAGATTCGCACCAGAGCGTTCATTTAAAATTTTATTTTATCGAAAGTAATAAAATACACTTTTAAATGAAAGTTATAATAATTATAATATCTTGGAAGTGATTTTGCTTCTACAACGGTAATCTCTGCTAATTGCGATGACCCAAAAGTGCGTTTAGTACGTCAGCCAAATATTTTTTTAACGCGTCAGGTGCAAAAGTTCGTTCACTGTTCCAGAATGTTATAAAACAAATGTAGACACCAGATTAACTCTTCGCAGGGCA